GGAACTAGAAGCAAAAATGGTTTTTAAAACAACCTTGACAGCGTTTCCTGCTGACAAACAAGCGGGTGAAGATGACAAACGTTCCCAAAGTGATAGGTCCTTCTTCACCAGGGAAGGGGGTTGTACGGAGGTTGAACTCATTGAGCCCCGCCGCTGTTGAAGAAATTCTATTCACTCAAGGATGCTAGAATTTTGAACTCAGTGGGGAAAAAAGAAGAAAAAGTCTGGGAGATGAAGGCTTGCCTCTACTGCATACCTCTGGTTTTACGATGAAACAATGAAAATATTGAAGATGAAATGACCCCTAAGACCCCCACTAGGGTCTTAGTGTTGATTTGCAGCCTCTCAGCTCCAAATTTGCTCTTCCTGGCTTTGTGGGGGTTGGGGGGCTGGAGCATGATCCTGTGGATGTCTGTCCTCTGCCTAGGTGACCCAATGGGGAGCTTTGTCACAGGGGGTGCTCTGGGAGAAGAACGGGAGGAGGTGGTCTGTCTTCCTGGTTCTGGTGTTGTCCCCTCTCTTCTTGTTCCTGCAGCCCAAGGGATACCCCATGGCCCTCATCTCGGGGAATTTAGCAGTACCCTTACAGATGGTTACTAGAGAGTTTTGCCAGAACCCAGCCAACCTCCTAGAAAGTACAATACCCCCGAAGAAGCTTCCTGGTGGGTTGGCCAGTGACCCAGCTGGACCCCAGAGGATGAGTCACAGCAAGTTTGATCAGCAGCTGATGGAATGTCTCTGCTAGCTGGAGGGCCTTAACCATACCATTTCCAGTAAGCCCTGAATCTTAGTTTGGCTCTCAAGAAGGCCCTCTTCCAGATTTGTTCCTTCCTTGGGTTATCTGCGTTGGTCCTAGGTAGTAGCTACTTCTCATATCTGCTATTTGTATAATCTTGGGAGTTTCTTAACTCCTTATAATAATGAATTCTCTGTTACTAGTTTGTAATTCTTTATATTAAACTTTCCCCATTCATTACTGTGTGATTTCTGTTTCTTGACTAGACCTTGTTGAATGTACTCATAGCCTCCGGAAATGTGTGCTGAAGAGTTTACTAGAAGCAATGTATAACAAATTCCATAGTAGCACTATTCATAACAGCCCAAATGCCCATTACCAGCAGAAGAGAGAAATAATTTGTGGTATATTCATGGAAAGGAATGCTGGAGAGTGATTAGAATAAATGAACTACAAATATATGCGAAAACACAAACAAACAGAAACAGAATGTTGAGTGAAAGAAGCAGAAACAAAAGAAAATATGCTGTATGATTCCATTTATGTGAAGTCCCAAAACAGGCAAAACAAATTCTGGGGCTAGAAAGAAAGAAAAGTGGTTATTCCTAGAGGGGATTAGTGATTGGGAGGAGAAACAAGTAGCTTCTGGGATGCTGGTAATGTTCTGTTTCTTGGCCAGGGTCTTGGTTATACAGATGATCATTTATGTAAATTAATTGAGCAGTGCCTTTTTGATGTTTACATGTTTGATGTTTAAAAATTAGTCATGCTGAAAATATGTAATATTTAATAAAAATATTTAATGAAACACACATATTTATTAAATTGATGAGGTACAAATTATTTGACTCCAATAATAAAGGAAAGCTCATTCATTCAACAAAAAATATATGTGCATAGTGTGTATCATATGATGCTAAGAATCAAGAGATGAATTCGTTATTCTTGGTTCTGTCCACAAAGGGGCATGGTCTCCAGGGGAGACAGACATGAAAATGACAACTACAACACAACATGCTTCATGGATTTGTTCAGGTGGTGTGGATGGAGTGCTACAGATAGAAGAGGGAACGAGGAATGGTGTATTGAAAAGCTACGCACAGGAAGGTGGCAGCATCTGAGAGGGGACCTTCCCTCTGCACAGTGAGGATGTATCTACTCACTCCACCATCCTCCACTTCCATAAAAGGTTGAGCAGGAGAAAGCGGGGTATTCTGAGCAGGCAGAACGGCATGCACAGAGATATGAATTTTGAAACTCACTGTAAACTCAGAAACAGAGTGTTTAATGTCATAAGAGTCTGGGTAGCACTGGGAAGAATGGCAGGAGATGAAACTACAGAGGGAAACTGAGGCTTGATTGTGACATGCTTGTACACCTTCTACAAGTGTGAATTTTGCACAGGGTGCCAAAGAAATTCTGTATAGCTAGGCTTTAGAGATGTCGCCCCGCCCAACACCCAACAGATGCCCATGTTAGTTCTCTTTCACAGAGAAACCAATGAAACCCATAGAATTTGGTACAAGTGACACTGTGTGACTTCTGAGGCCACTGCAGCTTCTGCCTCGATTTCTTGAAAAACTTGTTCTTGGGGTGTCAGTCATCATATAAGAAGTCCAGCTAGCCTGAGTCCACAGCATTGTGAGAAAGCACAGTCTAAGAGAGACTGTGTGGAGAGGGTGGTCCCTCAGCCCAGTCAAGCTTTCAGGTGACTCCAACCTCACCTGACATCTGAACACAACTGAGTCAGAAACCCCAGTGGAGAATGGACTCACTCTGTGTTGAATGTGTATGACATAAAGAACTGTAAGAAAGATTTTCTTTTTTTTGGATCTATACTATATTTTGAATCACTACTCTTTAGAGCGGTCTATTACACAGTACTAGACAAGTAGACCAGATATTTTGGTATAGAAATGTGACAGAGAGAGTATGAGTTTGTCTTTAGAAACACAGTCTGGAGGGATGTCTCCATCCTCAGTAGGCTCAGTAGGTTAAGCCGCTGCCTTCGGCTTAGGTCATGACCCCGGGGTCCAGGATCAAGTCCCACATTGGCTCCTTGCTCAGCAGGGAGCCTTCTCTCTCTGCCTCTGCCTACCCCTGTGCCTGCTGGTGTTCATTCTCTCTCTCTCTTTCTCTGACAAATAAATAGATAAATTCTTAAAAAAAAAAGTAAACACAGTCTGGAGACAGCATGGATGAAGATTTGAAGAAGGCAGAGGTTGAAGGTACCTAGACATGTTCAGAGGTTTTCACAGGAGGATATGTGGACAGAGAGGCTAGAATCCAGAGATACTTGTGAGGCATACTTGACAGGGTATAGAGATCAAATAACTATGTGGTGGGAAGGAGAGGAAGACTGGAAATCTTTCAGGTTTCTGCCCAAAGAGAATAGGTGGTAGATAATGTACTTAATAGAAATTAGGGCCTATTGGGGCATCTGGGTGATTCAGTTGGTTAAGTGCCTGCCTTTGGCTCAGGTCATGATCCCAGTGTCCTGGGATTGAGCCCCTCATTGGGATCCCTGCTCAGCAAGGAGCTTCTCCCTCTCTCTCTGCCCCTCTCCCTGCTCATGCTCGCTCACTCTCTCTCTTTCTCAAATAAATAAAATCTGGAAAAAAAAGCAAGAACTTATATGGAAGGATAGATGAGCTGTGCAGATGCTTAAGCTGAAGGGGTTGCAAGGATATAATGCCGAAGGAGTCAGATACGCAGTTGGAAGTTTTATTTAAGGCACACAGGAAATTGGGGCCATACATGACATTTATACACATATAGGCTCACAGTTACATATTAGGATGGTTGAAGTTACAGAGATGAGATCACCAATAGAAAGGGTTTAGGGCAGTAAGAAGAGGGAAAAATAACGGAACTTTAGTAGACTTGGGGCAGAGGCGGAAAAGCCCACAAACAAAACTGAAAAAAATAGGAGAAGTAGAGAGAGAAACTGGAGACTCGTGCCTCAGAAGCAGATAGAAAAGAGGAGAATGTCAAGAGTATGGAGCTTTCATTATCAAAAGTCACCGCAAGATCGAATAGGGTGAGAATGTGGTATATGGTTTTGACAATTAAGAGGTCGTTAGGAATCTGAATAAGACCACTTTCCAGAATCTGGCTTGATCAGAGTAAAAAGCAAAGACCATGAATTTAGATTGTTCTTTGAAGATACTGGGTGGCCAGATGAAAAACTAAGGTAAGTTTGAGCAGGATCGTAGGCTATGAGGAAGGAAGAGACTAAGGACAGGTTAGCTGACACAAAGTTCCTTGGCCAGTCAGAGAGGTGGGATAGAGAGGTCTCTAGAGTCATCTGTTTTACAGGCATCTGCTCTTCAAAGTGTGGTCCACAGGCCAGTAGTATCAGAGACACCTGAGAACATGCCAGAAATGCCTAATCTCAGGACACAGCACAGTTCTAGTGAATCATAACTTGCATTTAATTTATTATTATTTATTTATTTGGGAGAGAGAATGAGAGAGAGAGAGAGAGAGAGGTCAGTGGGAGAAGCAGACTCCCTGCTGAGCAGGGAGCCTGATGTGGGACTCAATCCTGGGACTCTAGGATCATGACCTGAGCCCAAGGCAATTGCTGAACCAACTGAGCCCATCCAGGCGCCCCATAACTTGCATTTAAACAAGATCCACAGAACCTGGTAAGACAGGCATTACTGTTTCCATCTCTACCTAGGATGAGACTCAGGCTCAAAGAAGTTGACTGACATAGCGGAGCTGATTAGGGATTGAGCCAAGATTCTATCCCAGCGTCTAATGATCTTTTCAAGAGGTGGACAGGCAAGTTCACAGGGATTTCTACTTTCACTCAATTCAGGGCAGTTGTTTCAGATGCTAACACCGCCGACAATCCATCACAGGTCTGTAGTTCTAGTGTCTTCAGTTGTGAGTTTGTTGTTACAGCGATGGACGAGGTCCTTTCTGAGCCTTCGGCGGCCTCCCAGGAAACCACATTGACAGCATCGGAACTTCACTTCCCAAAAAGCCCAGCGGCCTCTTTCCGCGCGAGGCATGACGGGCACCTCGGCCCGCGGTCTTCTCTGGCGGAAGCACCTCGAGGAGGGAGGCCACATAGCCTGACGTGCGGCGCGCAGCATCATGGGATGTGTAGTCTGGCTCTGTCCGGGACGCCCCCTCGGATGAATGGGGCCCAGGCTGACTGCGAACTACAGATCCTCGGCCGGCTGCGTTGGTGGAGGCCGCGGGGGAAGAGGAGCCGGCGGCGGTGCCGCCGAAGGAGAGCAGCACTGCGGCACGGTGGGGATGATCTGTGCCGCGGCGGACGCAGCGGCCCGGCTTCTTGGGGAGGCGGTATAAGCGGGCGCCGCGCCTCCGCGCTCGCCCTCAGTTCCGCGCTCCGACCATGCGCCCGGCCTTCGCGGTGGGCCTGGTGTTCGCAGGCTGCTGCAGTAACGTGATCTTCCTAGAGCTCCTGGCCCGGTGAGTGACCTCCGCGGGCCGCACCCCTGCTCGCAGCGCGCGGGGCCCGGGGCGGGACGACCTGGGACCCGGCGGAGACGGTTTCTCCGTGGCCCCGCGAGCTGCCCGCTCTCCCGCCCTCCAGGTTGCATCCCTCGGAGGGGAGCGCCGGGGGTCCTGCTGTCCTCACCCGCTTTTCCCACACTGCGGGATGGCAGCCTGCAGAGTTTTTCTCTCGTGACCGGTCCAAGGTCGGCGGGGAGCTCGTGGCAGAACCTAGAGCTCCTCCAGCTCTTTTCGCGATCCTGTTAATGCCACACGTCGGACTGGGGCAAAGCCCAACGGCTTCTAACGCAGTCTGATTTTGCACTTGCAGCCAAGAAAGTTTCATTACCCCCCCCCCCACCAGCACCCCCCACAGCATTTGTTTTCTCGGCCTTCGAGATGGTTGTGAGTGCTTGACCCAAACAGACCTCCCGGTGATGTAGTCCTGTGGAGCCTTACTCAGAAGGCCGGTCCCCTTGACCAGAGGGAGGAATTCCAGCTTTTAAGATATCACAGTCTTTAGATGGAGAAGCGTGCATTTGGAGGCGTAACTTTATAAATTAAGAATGATTATGACACTTTTTCCCAAAGGGAAACTAGGTTAGTTTTATTGAGGTGGCTCTCAAATAATGTTGAGCAACGTGCAAAGTTCAGTGGATAGGAGCTGTTGTTACAGAAGAGACGGCCGGTGGGCTAGAAAAGATTGAGGACCAAAAATCTCACGTCTTGGTTGGGTCCTCCTTTTCCTTTAGCCACGTTGGGCCTCCGTTTTCTAGCTGAAGAATAAACGATGTGTGGTGTTCTCTAGGGCCATATATCTGAATCCACACATCTCCACTGACCATCAGAACAATCTTGTGAACCAAACAGATCAGGAGTTACTATCTTTTTTTGCTGAAAATGAAACCGGGCTCAAGAAGTCAGACGGGTCTTCTACTACTTGTAGGTAGCAGAGCCCAAACTAGAATCCAAGACACCTGTACTCTACTCTAGTACCTTTTGCAATCTCCCTGTTGTTTTTGAACTTAAGCAGCCCACGGAATTTTGGTCAGTGCCTCACCTGGAGGTGAGCTAGAAATGTATTTATTTTGTTTCCATGATAGCATTGATTAGTCATTCTAAAGCAGTCAATTTATTTAAGGTCTGGGTTAATTTTTGCTATTGCAGAGCTTGAAATCTTATGCAGAAAGTATTGATAAGGATCTGTCACTTATTTTGGGCGTAGTTGGAGAGAGGTTTAAAAATTAAAAAAAGAAAAATGTACCCACTTGTCAGTCTGGTATACTTCCAAGGAAGGTCATTTGGGAAATTGATTTAAAAATACTAAAAAAGTGAAAAAATCAGGCCAGCAATGGAATAATGAGAGAATAATATACTGTATTATAAATATATATAAATATAATAAAGACTTGTGTTGAATGTGCCATTAAATTAAATCCTGCCAAAGGCTATATGACATCATGATATGTGAGCACCTGAGGGCCCTCATTACTAAGTGTGAGCTCTCGGCTAAATTACTTGATCTCCTGAGTCTGTTCTTTGAACTGGGAAAGGCTCTACCAGCTTCACAGGGTTTTGAAGAGTTCAATGAAATGCACATGCGAGGTGCCTGAAGCACACTGACTTCCTCTTTTTTTTTTTTTTTTAAAGAGTATTTATTTATTTATTTGATAGAGACAGCAAGAGTGAGGGAGGGGGAGTGAGGGAGAAGAGGGTTGCGCTGAGCAGGGAGTCGGACACAGCGCTTGATCCCAGGACCCAGGCACCCCACACTGACTTCCTCTTGTCTCTAACAACTTCGGTTTCGGTGCGGGTAAACCTTGTATTATAAGCTACTCCTGAAAAGTTGTGAATAAATCTAACTTTACGGAATGTTTTTGTGAATTAGAGGAGCTTCTGTTTAGAACGCTTTGAAAATTTATACATAGATCCTCCTCGTTTGTCTTTTTTATAAATCTGACTTTTTGCATAGAGCAGTAGGTTTTCATAAAGTGGTGAGGGGCACAGTTATTAACTTAGTGAGTGGTGTACACCAGACCGAATAGCAGACTTTTCCTGGTTTGCTGGGGCAGCTCACAACTTACTCTGTTAAAGACCAATAAAATAAGAGCAGGTTGGACCAGATGGTCTTTAAGGTCCTTTGTAGTTTTGGCCTCCTCATAATTTTTGACTTTATCTTGGGACATCACAGTGGAAAGCTCATAAATTTTTATAGAGCAGGAACTTGCTCTTATATGGCTTCCTTGGGACCATCATGTGCCCTAATACCATGCCAAGCAGAACACTAGGAAATGCTAGAGTGACTTGTAGGGAGAAGGAAACATTTTTCTCCATTTTCCCCAAATCGGGAAACAAACCTAGGTTTCTTTTTGATTTTTTTATCTATAATTGGGACCTGTAATAAAATAAAAAGCACCATGCACTGTACAGAACAGACGTGAAGTCATGAATGGATGCCTTGACTTCCCTCCAGAAAGAGCTTGGAAACAGGTTGCGCGCACATCAGCTAACTAACTCGCCAAGGTGGTGAGTGTCCTACCTCAGGAAAACAATCTGAAACTTTTTTTTTTTCCTATTTTACTTTACAATTAAGTGCATCATGTTGACTCAAGTAAGGAAGTTTCCTAAATCTGGAAGAAGAAATTAAAAAATTCAAAGTTGCTTGTCTTTGAAATAAAAATTTGAATGTTTGCTAAAGAGAATTCCAAGTAAGAGAAACTGCAGTTGGTGATTATAATTTGTAAGGAGTAAAGTTCAAGAAAACAAGTGATTTAGGGAAAAGGATCCAAGTTTTTACATTGAAGGTTTAAAATCAGTTGTTCAAGTTAAAACAAATAGTTCCATCGGTAGCCATACAACAGTGTGTTCCCCCAAAAGCTAAGTTGATTTAAAAAAAAATTTAATTATGTGAGTACATTAGGGATATTTTAAAATCCTATGGAAATAGAGACAAAATAGTATAGGGTTGTCAAGGGATGGGGGAGGGGACAATGGAGAGGGACCCTAACACGTATGAGATGTCTTTGGGAAGTACCCTAAAATGGTAAGAGCTGCAGAACTCTAAATATAGTAGAAACCACTGAACTGTAAACAGTAATACAAGGGAGTCTGCAAACCTCACGTATTTGCACTGTGCTCTGGGAGACTTCCCTGAGTCAGTACCATGTGATGCTCAGGGTCTTTAGCAATGAAATGGGCATAAAAATAACCTCTGTAAAATAAAGATAACATTAAAAATTATTATGCTTTTTTAAAAATCCTGTGAGGAATACACTTGTAAAGTGAATCATTTTTAGAAATAAATGACTTCTTTTTATCTTTCATAAAATATTTTAGGTCGTACTTACGACCTCACATTCGTTCAGCTGCTTGAGTGAAAGCCAGATACTGTGCTCAGAGAGCGAGGCATTAAGATGAGCTGGACACCGCTGGTCCTCTTACCTTCCCCGTGTGGCACTGGTTTCTTCCTATTTCATACTCCCATTTTGCCTCACTCATTACCTTGTCACCTCCTTAAGGGTTCAGGTCTCCTTCACACTGGGAGCTTGCCAGCACCTGACTTTACCTGTGATAGGTTCTTTAATTGAATTGGCCTCATCCTTTGGTAAAGAAAAAAATGGGTGAGAAGCAGGAAGCTTGATGAACCCCATTTGGGCTAAGTCTTGTGTTGGCACTTTACATTTTCTCCTGGGATCATCGCTACAGAATTAAAAATTTATCACTTGCACTTTTATAGCTGCGAAAAATTTGTCAAGACGAATGTCTTTAAAAGGGTTACTGTGCTTTAATTGAAGACCTTTCCGTATACAAAGTCCTAATGTTCTAGTCTTTGCCTTTTTCCCCTCTGTGGCACACTTGAAGTGCTTTTCAGGGACTGGCTTATTTACTCTATAATAAACCAATGAGATAGGCACTAATACTGTTCTGCATTTTAAAGATAAGGAAGCAAGACTTAGATAGGGTAATTAACTTCCACTCTAGAGAACTGGATCCTGCCGATCCTGCCGGTCCTTGTGTAATTTTAACCATCTTGGGTGGTTCTCAGCCCTGTGATGGCAGGTGGGAATCACTGGCACATCTTACATAGGTCTGCACACACACTCCCACACGCATCTTCTGGCACTTTCCCCAGACCTACACCAGTGGTTCTCAGGTCTGGCTGCACCTTAGAAGCAAGCAGAGAGCTTTGAAAAGTACAGGTTCTAGGGCCTTACCCCCACAGTAGTCTGAGCAGATCTGGGGGCTGGGAGGACTCCTCCGACTTGTGGGTTTCTAAAGAGCGGCCTGGCCAGAGTTGAAAAGCACACCGTGCCAGGAACTAGCTGGAGCTAAGTACCTTCTCCTGTCACTCATCATTAGGCTAATGGTTTTGATTAGCTCTTAGAATGAGGTCAGTGTTTTATGTGATTGTTTATGGCTTCTTGCAATGTTTTTCCCTCTAACATAAATATTAAAAGAAATGCCGGCTGCAAAGTGGTATTTTTCAAGAACACCTTTGTAGCCACTAGAGCGTAAGGAGTAGCAACAGTTGCGTTGCACGTGGTAAGCCCAGCTCTGCACAAGAGTGGCTTATGCTTAGAGTTAACCTACTTTACCCCCGTTAGGTGTATTTTAGAACTTGTATACTTGACATTGCTATTTACTAATAATACCACTAGTAGAGAATGGGGTTGTTTTTTAATAAATAGCAGTATATTAAATGTAATAGTACATTTATAATACAATAATTATCCCTCTAATCACTAGCCTCTGGTTAATAAATGTCCTTGATCAAGATGAGAAAACAATATGAAGGCTGAGAAGTCTGGAAGCTCCAGGAAAACAAAGACAAATGGCCACTTTGTACTTCTTCCAGTGACTGAGCAGAACCTGATAGGAGCAAACTCCAAACCACGAACATTTTAAGTAACCAGTTTTCTCAATGTTTCAAGAGGGAGGTCAGAAGGACTCTTTCTGCCTCTTCAATGTGTGCCTCACAGTCACTGTGGAAGATTCCTCAACCCTTCCGTGGATCACTAAAGAGGTTCGATTGAGTTCCACCGTTTGTGGAGTACCTAGTATACCTGTGTTCAGGGCTGGGGTCAGTCGATGATCACGGCATTCTTCATCCTTTTCTCCTTGCTCTTGCTTCTTATCTCTCCTTACCCCTGCCGCAGACCCTTTGTCTGTAGACACTTTTTGCCTGATCACCCCTCCACAGATACATTCTGTCCTCAGAAAAGAGAATAAACCTCCCCAGCCCAAGAACCAGTCGTTGCCCCCAGGGTGACCTTCTCTGAGACGATGTCCCAGTCACCAGCAATGGGTGCACGTCTTCTATCGCCAGTAGTCTTGGTGGTTCCTGGTCAGGAGGCTGTGTAAACATCCCAGGAGACCCGAGCACATTTCTGCACTGGGGCTTTGCTGCTGAGGTGACCAGGATTCACTTTTGGTCTTTTTGAGTATCCCAAGGACATACGACCAACCTCCCACCGCTTACTAGAAAAGTTGTATTGTAGTTCTGAGAATGAGAGTTATCGGAATTCTTCCTCATGGCCTATTACAGCTAGGGAAGAGTAAAATAAGCTTGACATTTCTTCTCTGTGAGCTCTATTGATAGACGTGTGTGATCCATGGGACGTGAAATCGGAGATAAAGGACAGTGGGTAAGAGAAATCGGTCCTCCCTGTTATTTCGAACTATTAATATAACAAGTCTTAGTGCCCTTTATCTCAGCTTTTTGTTTTACTACGCAGGAAGCATCCAGGATGTGGGAACATTGTGACATTTGCACAATTTTTATTTATTGCTATGGAAGGCTTCCTCTTTGAAGCTGATTTGGGAAGGAAGCGGCCAGCTATCCCAATAAGGTATGGCACACTGACGTCTCTTTTAGCCTTTGTTATTTTTGTTTTGTTTTGTTTTGTTTTTAAGAAGTTCAGGACTTTTCTGGTAACTAGGTAGAAGGAGGAGTATGAGATATCCTCTTAAAAGATCTGTGTCAAAGATATTAGGAGAATAATAATGATAATTCATTTTCTGAATTTAAAATGTTGTGACATTCCAGGGAGCCTGTTTTTCGAATAAAATGCCCACCACAACACAAAATAATTATGATGGAAACAACAATGTGTGTATGTGTCTAATATATGGTTGGTTAAAGGTTTAGTGTGACCACAATGTTTTTTAATAGTTACGTATGCTAGCCTCGTGTTGGTAAAGTTATCCGATATATTAAGAGTGGTGTTATTGGTCCTTTTAAAAAATGAATGGGTTTGGGGAATAACCAGGAGTGGTGCTTGTGCAGCCTCGTGATACGCTAAGTGCCACCTAACTGTTCACTTTCACATGGTTGATTTTACGTTGTGGGCATTTCCTCTCAATTAAAAGGAAGTGAGTGGCAAGCCAAGGCAAAATTGTTGAGTCCAGACCTCCACGCATTAGTCCAGATTTGCATAACTGTACTCAGGAGGCCAAAGAGAAAACAAGACAGTTCTAATAAACAGTGTATTGAAAATTCAGCATTCTTGCCCAGACGGACTGGAAATAAAAGTTGTGAGTGTGTCGTAAGATCAGGTCATGTAATCCTGTTGATAGGGATTTTCCGGTGTGAATGTATCCAAGGGTGGGTCAAGGCTCATGGTGGTTGTTCTTTTGCAACATTCCCGAATAGCCTGCTATAGAAAATATGGTTGAATTTTGTTATTAATATTGTGCTTTTAAATTTCCCAACGTGTTGCTAAGTATTCTGAGTAGGTGGTTTTTTTCATTGGCTTTAGTATCTACATAAAACCTTCATTCCCTAGACCAGCGTTTACATCATGGTAGGCACCCCCACAATTTTTTTTTTTAATCTCTCTATTGTTTTATTTTATCCTATTTTCAAATTTTTATTGAAACTTCAGTTAACATATGGTGCAGTATTGGTTTCAGGAGTAGATTCAATGATTCATCACTTATATGAAACACCCAGTACTCGTCACAAGTGCCCTCCTTAATGCCCATGACCCATCTATCTGTCCCCTACCCACCTCCCTCCAGCAACCCTCAGTTTGCTCTCTGTTGTTAAGAGTCTCCTATGGTTTGTTTCCCTCTCTCTTTTTGCCCCCCTTCTCATATGTTCATCTGTTTTGTTTCTTAAATTCCATATATCAGTGAGATCAAATGGTACTTGTATTTCTTTAACTGACTTATTTCACTTAGTATAATACACTAGCTCTGTCCACGTGGTTGCACATGGTAAGATTTCATTCTTTATAATGGCTGAGTCCCTTGTACATATATATATACCACATCTTCTTTATTCATTCATAAGTTCATGGACACTTGGGCTCTCTCCATAGTTTGGCTATTGTTGATAATGCTACTCTAAACATCGGGGTGCATTTACCCCTTCACATCTGTATTTTTTTATCCCTTGGGTAAATACCTTTAGTGCAATTGCTGGATTGTACGGTAGTTTCTATTTTTAAGTTTTTAAGGAACCTCAGTATTGTTCTCCGGAGTAACTACACCAGTTTGGGGTTCCAGGAACGGTACAAGAGGCTTCCCTTTCTCTATATCCAACACCTGTTCTTTTTTTTTTTTTTTTTAAAGATTTTATTTATTTATTTGACAGAGAGAGATCACAAGTAGATGGAGAGGCAGGCAGAGAGAGAGAGAGAGAGAGAGAGAAGCAGGCTCCCTGCTGAGCTGAGAGCCCGATGCGGGACTCGATCCCAGGACCCTGAGATCATGACCCGAGCCGAAGGCAGCGGCTTAACCCACTGAGCCACCCAGGCGCCCCCAACACCTGTTCTTTATTGCATTGTTAATTTTAGCCGTTCTGACAGGTGTGAGGTGGTATCTCATTGTGGTTTTGATTGGTATTTCCCCGATAATGATGTTGAGCATCTCCTTATGTGTCTGTTGGCATCTGGATGTCTTCTTAAGAAAAGTGTCTATTCTTCCGCCCATTTCTTAACTGGATTGTTTGGGTTTTTTTGTACATTGAGTTTGATAAGTTCTTTATAGATTTGGGATACTCAGCCTTTATCAGATATGTCACTTGGAAATATCTTCTCCCATTCCATAGGCTGCTTTTTAGTTTTGTTGAATGTTTCCTTTGCTGTGCAGAAGTTTGTTTGTTTTTTTTTTTTTTTTTAAGATTTTATTTATTTGACAGAGAGAGATACAGCGAAAGACAGAACACAAGCAGGATAGGAGAGGAAGAAGCAGACTCCCCACTGAGCAGGGAGCCCGATGTGGGGCTCGATCCCAGGACCCTGGGATCATGACCTGAGCTGAAGGCAGACGCTTAACAATTGAGCCACCCAGGTGCCCCTTGTGCAGAAGCTTATTATCCTTATGAAGACCCAATAGTTCATTTTTGCTTTTGTTTCCCTTGCCTCTGGTGATGTGTCTAGTAAGAAGTTGCTGTGGCCAAGGTCAGAGAGGTTTACTGCCTATGTCCTCCTCTAGATTTTGATGGCTTCCTGTCTCACATTTAGGTCTTTCATCCACTTTGAATTTATTTTTGTGTATGGTGTACAAAAGTGGTCCAGTTTCATTCTTCTGCACGTTGCTGTCCAGTTTCCCCAACACCATTTGTTGAAGAGACTGTCTCTTTTCCATTGGACCTTTTTTTCCTGCTTTGTTGAATATTAGTTGATCATACAGTTGTGGGTCCATTTCTGGGTTCTCTTTTCTGTCCCGTTGATCTTTGTGTCCCGAATAGACCAGGCAGTCCGGAAAAAGAGAAACGAAACTGGAGGCATCACAATTCCAGATTTCAAGCTGTATTACAAAACTGTGGTCATCAAGACAGTGTGGTGAGACAAGGATCCCCCACATTTTTAATTCCTCTGACCCTCTCCCCACTCCCCACCCAACTCCGCACCTTTATCTCTTTCCATTGGGGCTGCCACTAGCGCAGTTCAGGAATGCATTCATTCTCACCATTAACTTTTATAATGGTGTCCTAGCTGGCTGGCCTCTTGCCTCCCACCGCTCCGTACCTGTATTTCAACTTCCTACTATTGTCTTGTGACACCCCCCCTCACAGGTACTCAGGGGTCACTAGTAGGTTCTGAGGGAAACCCAGCTCCCTAACCTGCCCTTTGAGGCTCCCTGGGATCCTGCCCTGACAATCCTACCTCCATGTGTGTCCTGTAGAGCTGGCTGTTTTAGTTTCTATCTGTGAAGCTGCAGGCAAAACCTTGACATCATGGGGATGTCATTCATTCCCAGGAGCAATTTCTAGGCCATGCTGCGTAGCCAGCAAGGTGGAATAGTTGGAATTCCTTATCCTAAAAGGCCTGGATGAACTCTGTCTCCAGATGGCGTTGTTTCAAGAGAAGCCTAAGAAAATTTGGCAAGAAACCTTGTGAAGTCACCAGTAATATTTTAGAATCTGTGAAATAGCGGTTCTCAGTGTTAAAAAAAAATTCAGCTGAGTAAATTTGAAGATCTAATGGTTTTATTAAATGACTCATGAATCAGTATCCCATCTAGCAAGAAGAGGGGAGCTCTGTTGAGCTAAAGAAGGGAAAGACTTTTAAAGGTAGAGGGCGTTAAAAAAAAGCAGGAAGGAATTTATTAGCAAAATATGCATTGTTTAGGCAAGGTTGCCTTGAGAGGAGAGCAGAAGCCGGGGATGGGGGCAGCTATCAGAAAATTCCCTAGTATTGACCAAGGAATTCTATGTTGACTGGATAAAGATGACATTCCAGGGAGGGGGGATTGGTTGAAATTGCACTTGGGTAAGGAATTAAGTCTTTTTTTTACTGACTTGGGTCCTTAACCTTAGTGGCACCATTTTGGGCCTGTGGTTTTCTTTTGAGCAGTTACCCCCTTTTGATTAGACTGTCAGCTTAACCGAGAGATGTGATAAATATTTTAGGTCTTAGCACCACTCTCCCTTACTGCTCGGAAGTTCTCGAAGTTTTTGTCATTCCTTTGTCTGGTATCCATAGATCATGACCTTTTTGCTTAACCCCTGGTATTCGTAGGTCACAGCCTCAGATTCACACTCCTATTAAGTGGGTTATTTTCTTTGTTCTGTAGATGTTCCTGTCTTAGGAAGAGCATTTGCTTGATGCATTGCTGCATGTATCTCAAGCTTTCAAAAAGGAAGTTTATTACCATTACATAAGTGGAATAAATCCCAGTATTTGGAGTGCACTTTAGAGCCATCGTCCCCCAGATTCAAGCCCATCAAAATCAAATAAGCCAAAGAAAGACCCTGTAGACGGAGTCACCTTCTTAAGCCAAGCGACATGTTCTGTGACCTTACCTGAGTTTCAGGGTTCATAGGGTTGATGTTGGCTGCAGTCCAGACACCACCTTCGTCAGCCAATAGAGAGTTAAGAGCTATTCCGTTATCGAGAGACTTTAAGGATATTTGTTGGGCTGCTATTGCTTTAACAGGTTTTGCAGCAATTTTAAGAATTAAGAAGCAGTTCTTTTTTTTTTTAAGATTTTTATTATTTTTTTGACAGGGAGATAGAGAGCACAAGTAGGCAGAACGGCAGGCAGAGGGAGAGGGAGAAGCAGGCTCTCTGCTGAGCAGGGAGCCCAATGTGGGGCTCGATCCCAGGACCCCGGGATCATGACCCGAGCTGAAGGCAGCCGCCCAACCAACTGAGCCACCTAGGCGCCTCAAGAAACAGTTCTTGATCCTAGCCTCATTTACATTTATCTCTAATCAGGGAAATAGGAACATGTGAAAAGGAGTGAATTCTGAATCATGAATGTTTTCCAGTGGGCCCTTAAAAATATATATTTATTTATTTATCTATCTATTTATTTATTTATTTTAGGGTAGGGGGCAGAGGAAGAGGGATAGAATCTCAAGCAGACTCCCCACTGAGTATGGAGCCTCATGTGGGAC